TATTTATTTTATTCTTCTGGAATAAATCTTAGAAGCTCTCTAATTACAATTAGAGATGCTATAGACAGCAGTGGTCTTTTCTATCCACACAGTTTTGTCAGTTACTTGTGCTGCTTCCCACCTGTGTTAGATTTAAATCTTTGTTGCAGAAATTAAAGTCTTTAGACTCATCTCTTCTATCTGGATATTTTTAGAACTTCAGAAATGTCTGTATGGATGACAAAAAAAAAAAAGGAAAAAAAGAATCTAGGATAGAATTTATCAGTGGCCATTTTGATTTTTGCTTAACCAGTATCATCATCTTGAAGTCCATTGTGCTTTTTAGTTTCCTTTCAGAACCTTCTTTACCCAATTTCAAATGATGCATCAGCAGTATGAACAAAAGCTTGTTCCCCCACTTTTCTAGTAAACAAAGACTGATAAAGTTTCTTCTTGGATTGATATTGATAAGTCCTGTTTCATTGTTAAGAAATTTGAAAAATGCAATCACTTTTTTATAATTATGAATTACTTATTTCTCTGAAGATCATTTAAGAACATCTTTTTCCAAGGAATTGACATTTTGAAGAGTGAAGTCTTACTAAGAAAAATATATTAATTTTATATCTGTAAAATGAAAATGATACAATAGAAAAAATATTTGCTATATTGACAGTCGTGAATATTAATGTGTATTTAATACAATAGAAAAACAGGTAAGGTGCCTCTTATAACTAGGAAAGAGTTTACAATACATTAAGAATTGAATTTTCACTTAAAATGTGTTGGTCTGATATAGTTCTGTTGTAGAAATAGTATAATTTTCCATAATATGGAAATATTCAGTAAACATTCAGTAAATAAAAAAAAACAGTAATATTTGGTTAAAAAAAAAAGCAGAAATATTCAATAAATATTTCTGTTCTGTATTTAGGGGGAAAATTATATCATAACCTGAATCACTGAATAGTTTCTGACTAGAAACCACAAAATAAATTCTTTTAGAATCAGCAGAAAGATATCTTCTGTTAATGTGTTTTAAAAGAATTGGTTACATTCCTACTTGACCTCAAAAAAAAAAAAAAAGTCCTGAAAAATTGCAAAAGAACTCTGTGACAGACCAGAAAACATCCAAACCTGCCATGATGACACCTAAGGAGAGATTTTTGTCAGTGCTCAATACGTCAATGTAGAGGTTAAAGATCTGATAACTGAAAGCACTTCAGTCTAATGGATAATAAAAAGAAAATAAATCAGAAGGTTGAAGGATGCTCAAACTGAGCAATACCAAGCAGTAATTTTCCTCAGTCACCTTCAGCCAAGATAAAGGTAGCAGAAACTTTTCTGCTTTTTGTTGCTCTCATCAAGCTCCTGAATACTAGCCACCAGAGCTGTGCTTGAACACCCTGAGAAGGCTCACAAGCACTCTGATCAAACAGGGAAGGAATGTTTTATGTGTTTCTTGCTTTCTTGGTTTTGTGATTTAACTCTTCTCTGTTTCATTTAGAGCATAGACACTTTTTTCTGCATGCAGGAGTGATCCTGACACCTTGGAGAAAGAGAACTCTTGCACGTAAAATACCCATTGAAAATTTAAACACCTCTCCCTGAAATCTATGTTTTATTCCTTTATATTTAATGCTGCTTCTTCCCTCTCTTGTCTGCAAAGTGTCCTGTTCATACATTCACCTGTTGATGTATGCTGCTGAGCTGGGACCTGCACACTGGCAGACTCCATCGCCCTCATACCTTCCTAAATCCTTCACTTCTTTCTCAGCAGTTGGCAGTTCATTTGAGGCTCCAGCAGTGAGACTGGAGCTGTATTAAATTCTGGGTATCACCTTTACCTTCCAGCTCAGGAATGTTGATTTTAACTGTTGCCCCATAAAGTATTGGACAGGAACAGAGAGAACAGCTCTGGACCCACCTAGTCCTTAGTTTATTTTGTTTTCTGGACAAACAGGTAGATAGGTAGGATAAAACACGCTGCAGTGTTGACTGCAGTGTTGTCAGCTCTCTTTCACAAATAAAGTGAGCTTTTTCTCTCCTTTAGATGTAGGAGAACAGCTGGCTTCTGTATTTTATTTTATTTTTTTCAGGCAGCAGTTGTTTTACTGAAATGGAAGGGAGAATAATCTTCTTTCTGTGGACATGTGTGTTTTTTTCCCCCCATTACTCCTAATCCCTGAAATGGTTTAAAAGATAGCACTTAAGCAGGTTGCCAGCGTCCCTGGCACGCAGTTATGGCCTCACCAAGCATTGAGGCCTATAGAGAGGACCATCTGCAAATGAAGGAGGAGAGGAAAAAATTGGTTTCCAAACCATTCCCTCAGCTATAATCAAAGTGCACCACAAAGAAATTGGGACCTTTTGTTCACCAGAAACATGGACCCTGCACTAAATCCACTCTGAGCATCTGTCAGAGACTTCTTCCAAATTCCAAATTCTCAATAGGAGCTTAAACCTAAATTAGTAGAGTGTTCAATCCTCTGCTCTTAGCTGATAGCTTGAATTAATTACTCTATTAGCCTTTCTTCGTATCTTTTGGCTTGTTCTAGCTGTCACCAGAGAGCACGTGCATGGAACCACAGCAGCTCTTCACACTTCTGGGCACATCCTCTTCTCACATCTCTTGTGTTTACACCAGAAAGTTGAGGACAGATCCCCTCAATCCCTTCCATTTTATAAAGTTCAGGTCAAGGTTTCTTCAGCATGAGACTCGTTGCAAAATATTCATAGCACTGTCCACTAAATTTTGTCTATGACCTAGCTTTCCTCTCTCCAGAGAGCTGCTACACCAGTGTTTGGTTTTCTCTATGTGTCCTTATAGGGAAAAAAAGGGAACTGAGAGTTTTGTTTACAAGGGATTTGCCTCCAATTTCTCCTCTGTTTATTGCCTAGTTCAGGACCTTGAATATATAACATGGGGAAAAAATCCTATTATTTTTTGGCTGTGGAATTAATATTAAACCATTGTCTTATGGGGGTGCATGTGGACAGTCTTCTGTATATGGGTATATTGAGACAGATTTTGAAGGTCTCCCATACTCAGTTTCCTGAAACAGAAACTACCTACTTCACCAAGCATGTTCTGTATCAAATAATAATCTTTCTGCTAGCATTGCAATGTGTTTTGAAACCTTACTGCAGAGTTTAAATGTGTTTTCTTCTGCTTTTCTTGTGCTTACTTCTGTGTTCATTATATTTTTATTTCTGGTTATCTATATGAATATATGCTGTTATTTGTATATATCACATGTGCATTATTTGTATATGTTAATTGCCCTCCTTTCTTATTTATTTGTTTAATCTGTCCTTCAACCATGCCTTCTATATCTTGTGGTTTTTGGACTACTGGCATTTAAGAAAAAGGAGGAATAAATATTATGTATGTTCTGTTGATAGCATGAAACAAGCCTATAAAAACCTAAATGAGATGCAAGAAAAGTAAGGCAGCTTCCAATTTCCTGTTATCTGAGGTGAGAATTTTTTTTTTTGAGAAAAAAATAAAAGGAAGAAAAAGTAGTTATGTTTATGACCAATATGTTATGTCAGTCTTGTGTTCTGTGAAAATCACTGCTGCCTGCTAGTGGAATTTGTATGCTCTTGCACTACATTCACACTTCAAACATTTCAGAACAGATTAGTTGTATTAAATTGCATTTTAGATTGTTAGTCTGCACTTCAGGCTGTAGAACTTCTGTGTTTTGTTTTTTGTTGTTTTTTTCTTAGCCCCCCCGGCTTGTTGTTAGCTGGTATGTTCTACAAGTACTTGATACTCATCAAATAATGCGGGTTCCACTGCTGGGAACGCTTTGAGGTTGTTAACCCCACACATCCCCTTTACATTACATAGCATTTTCATCTTCTGAAATGTGAGTATCAGGTGGATGATATTCATGTTCACTTTGCAATACAGTGGAAATCCAGGACTGACAGCTTTAAAAATGTTTTGAAAAGGTAAGCATCTAACTTTGTCTACTGGCAGAGTGTCTGCTTTAAGGAAATGCAAATTTATATGCTGTATTTAGGTTTGCTCCACTGTGGACTGCATTGTGCAGTAGGACCAGTAGAATTTCTCCCCCATAGTCAAATGCAGGCATTTGTATTTTCAAATCGGGAACATCCCCTGGAAGTTACAGTGTTTGACAGCTTTAATGTCAACTGCATCACTTTCCTGAGTGGATTGGTTTGATGGGTTAAATGCTATAGAAAAGTTTGTCTCTAGATCCTGGACATCCTTATTGCGAATCAAGTTGAGGTCTGTCTGTTTCTTTTATTGTTGTTGGTTTTTGGTTGTTTGTTGGTTTGTGTGTTTTGTTTTTTTTCCTTGAGGTCCAATAGTATGATAGCAACACAAATATTTAGTTGTCAACACAACATCCAGTTGTCAGCTTGGCAGGTGAGGGGAGAGGGACCCTGGTTGTCTATTTTCTGTGGATCTGGTGCTGTCAGGGGTCTATGATGTCATGTCAAAGCCAGCGCTGGCTCTAACAAGGCAGTTCACAGTAGCAGGGCTGTGCTGTATAATCTTTTACAGACTTCCTTCTCCTCCAAAAAGAAACCTTTGAAGGGGAAACAATGGTAGACAACTTTTACATAGGGAAGCTACTGGATAATAAATTGCAAGTTAAAGGATGCTGATATTTAAACCTTCAAACTTTTCTTGCTTTTGCACTATTGTGCAGATGTAGAAAACAGCCTGTCAGCACAGCAAGCCAGAAAAGCTTGTAGCTTTCAAAGCGCTGCTCCTCGGAGAAGACGACGCAGTGCACGAAGACAGTTTGTTTGCCTGTAGGGAGAGAAAACCTTGCTGGGGTTAAGAAGCAAATTAACCCCTCGGTGTTCTTGGGCAAGCTGGGAACGTGCTGGCACACAAGGCTGCCCTGCGTTGGACAACTGTCACGCTGGCACCGCTCAGTTCCTCTGATTGGGTAGTCCCAGTGACTGATTAAAAATGCTGATGCTGTTTCTGCGCTCCTTTCCACTTGGAGGAGAAATCTCTTTTCCCCACCCCCAAGCCCACCTCTAGGATGTAAGTAATGGTGAGAAGATGAAGATGAAAACAGTGCGGTCTGAGTGACGGGAAATACAGCAGTCTGGTTTAGCTGCAGTGTTATGTACAAGTCGTCTTCAGACTTCTTACCTTTGGTTTTTCAGCACAAACTGCTCACAGGTTTTGGAAGGCTGTGAAAGGACTTACCATTTGTGTGTTAGTGTTTTCTGTGTATCGTCATATTACCTTGCTTTTCCCTGGACAGCTGTGTTCAGAGCTTCATGTGGAAATCTTTCTATTGAAGAGAGATAAAAAGGATCCTTAATCTGATTCTCTTTGGATCTTTCTATTTTTATGGTAAGTGCCAGCATGTATTGGCTGAGCATAGCTTCTTTGCTGCAGTGCTCGTGCTCTCTCCCTCTCTCTCCCTCCCTCTCCCTTCCCCCGTCTGTTTTTCTCCCCCTATATTCTTAGAATAAGCCTTGTGACCTTCACTCGATATCTAGTCATCGTTTTTAGCATCTTCATCACAGATGTTGCCTAGCTAAAATACAAGTTTTCTCTTTATTTTGCTCTTTCCCCTCTCTGACCCGGAGCTCTGAAGTAGTGATTGCAATCTGAGTATTGCCTCTTTGTCCTTGAAACGGGAGGCTTGAGCGTTGCTTGCAATTGCCCCTGGCAGCAACGGGATAAGCTTCTGGGGAACTGCAATTACAGATTTGGGAAATGTGACTCATTTCTGTAAGTCTGTGCTCCTGTGCTGGAAGGGTACAGAAAGCCCCTGTTTGACTAGCCATCTAGAAAACTCTGAAGCCCCTCAGTGTTCAAGTGTGGGGCATACGTGTGGTTTGAGCTGATATTTGCTGTTATTAGCATAGGAAGGATGGGGTCTTCCAGCATTTTCAGTATAAGCCCATGTCATCAGGTGTTTTTAAGTTGAACCTTTTGCATCTTACAAGTGCAGACTGGCTGGGACAAGTTGCAGAATAGGCAACCTAATAACCCTTGTCCCTCTCTGGTCTATACAATTGCAAATTCTTAGCCTTTTGAAGTGCTTTTACAACTCTGCAGTAGAAATGAACTGCATTTAAATATTTAAAAATCTGTGCTTGCTTAATTCATGCTCTAAGCTATTTTAACAGCTCTGATTTTGTAAATAGGAAAGGTCATTTTTTAGTCCACAGCAAACTGTGCCCTTAGGCATCCTTTTTTTTCTCCTAGTTTGTTGCAAGAGATTTAAAGTAAATGCAAATATAGGATTTCTGATAGAGACATGTATTCCTTTGCCTTTAGTATGAGAGAACTACAAAAATACATCTTTTAAATTAAATGTGTTTCATGTTGTGACTCCGTTATGTGGATTGACTATGCATAGCCCTCACACACTGCAGGAATAATAAAGACTTTACTAAATCTTCAAAGGTCTGCTGGAGGCATAGTTATAACACTGCCTCAAAGTCATCCCAGGCTGGTCTGCCTGCAAAGCAAGGCAAAGAGGTGATGTCTTCTTATATCTTTGTTTTACTGAGGTAGGATAAGAATAAAACTTTTTTATGTCTCTGCATTGCCTTTTCTGGGTTTAAATAAGAGATATGGTGGTGTCTGGAAACTGTGTTCTTTGTTTAATGTGTCTCACTTTGTGACTTAATAAAATAATTTTGTTCCTGATTTATCCTGTAATTCAGAGGGGTTTGCTTCACACGAGCTGTTTAGTTCAACAGAGTTTGTGTACCTCCTTCCCCCTCTCAAATGAGTAAAAACTTTAAAAAACACTGCTGTTATTTTAAATACCCTTCATTTCTTTCAGTACTTGGGTGTAATGTCTGTTGTACTCGTAGCGTGTATGTGTGTTGGGGGGGGATGCCCAGGTTGGGCAATTGCAAGAGGTACTGGGGGGAGGAGGAGGAGGAGGCTTACACAGATCTGCAGGTGGAGGACTTCATGGTGCAGTGAGGTACCTGCTGCATTGCCTTTGCAAAAAAAGCAGTAGTGGCCAGCACATAGCCCAGATATCAGTGGTCCAAATCACCCCCCTCCCTGCATCAGACCATGTGTTTTGGCATCATCTTGCACCCGCTGGTGCAGCTGGTCCTGAGACCTGAGATCCCTTCTCACTGCTGCGGTGAGGGCACGCTGCAAACCTCCCTCCCTTCTGCTCTCTGGGAAGGAGCAGGTCTGTCTTGGCACCTGTGCAGCTCAATGAACTGTTTAAAAACATTTGCCTCTAGAACAGTCCTCCCTGCTGTCTGTTACAAAAAGGCTTTGGCACTATGTAGACTCTGCGTTACTTAATTATTTCTTTTAAATCAGTTACGACGGTTTATTCTCTTCCAGTTTATTCTGAGTTTATTCTCTTGCAGTTTCAGCAAGGGCTGACACAAAGACAGCAGCAAAGAAACTTTTTGCTGTGAAGGGAGACCAGCAGGGGTCTTGTTAACACACAAGGGGAAGTAGTCTGAAGTGCCTGCAGGTTGTGACACTGCCTTGGGGAGACAAAGCTTAGGCTTTTCTTGGTTAAATGTAACAGGTAATTGTGTGTGTGTGCATTTGCATGTGGAGCTGTTTACTGTACCAGTTTGTTTCATATAAAATTACTGTAAACTTAAAAAAAAAAAAAGAGACTTTACAAAATATGTGCACAACCTAAATAATTCTGTAGATCACACAGTTAAGTAGGGTACAGCATGTTTTTATTTTTAAAATTATTATAAAATCGGGTATTCCTGTGCCTTAACTTAATCTAGATTCTTACCTCACATTCAATAAAAAGGACTGTTTTCACTCAAAAAATGACTCATGTCTAAGTAAGACTATCTGGCAAAAGGTAATTTTTAATCCAAGTGCATAATCAGATGTCTTTTTCAATAAAAATGTAAAGGCTGAAGTGCATAATGTAATGTATTTTTTAAATGGCCTTGAGGGAAAAGGAAGGGAGGAAAAACAATAATCCTGAAGTATTTTCTCCAGTTTAAACCACATGATCTTGCAACGGGATGTTTATATTTGGAACCTGATGTCTATGTACTGCAACTGAGAAGTCTATGTACCGAAAAACCCTTGTCAGCACATCCTGTTGCAGGCTGAGGGCTTGAAAAATAAAGATGCAATCCTCTGTAAAAGCCTTAAGAGGTAGAGGGAAGAGTGAAATCCCCAAAATTACATGAAATTCAAGTAGGTAGATATACTTGTCACTTCTTAGGAATCCTATGAATGCTCTGATAGGGGAATGCATGCATAGTACTTCCTTGTTTCACAGCATGGTGTCATGTTAATTCCTTTGCAGGGTGGCTGAAGACTGCATAGAAAACAACTGCAGGGGAAAAAAAAAAAAAAGCTCTGTTCCTCTAGCCAGCCAAAATCACCCAACGGTCTGATGAAGTCACTGCATTATTTTTTTTCCTGTGTACATTCAGTATGCATTCTTCACTCGACTCGTCCGTAGAAGCAAGTTATTTAAAGCTTTATACTCGACAAATATTCAACCATACACATTTATGTTGTGAATATAAACGGGTATGTTTTTACAGAAAGCTCACCCATTTTTCCAGTATGGTTTTATGTGGTTCATGTCACTTCAGTGGTTTTATGTTTTCTGTCTATCTGCTCATATCCTTTCTGACAAAAGCTGCACAGGTAGCTACTGATTATCACTGGCTGAAGAATCCAGATGGTGGATTAGCCATGCCCCAACTTCCCTCTCTGCCCCAGACTGGAAATTGATACTGGGATATGCATGGTGCAGAGATGAAGTCATCAGTACCAGGCAGTGCTTTGACTAGTGATTTATTTATTTTTTTCCAAAGCTCCTTCTGAAAACTGTTTATAAATATTTTCAAAGGTAATTTGTAAGTTACAGTATACATATTCTATGTATATACTATATGTTATATTAATTGTGGTTTTACCTGGCTGTTTCTTCATTCATACTGACCCAAGCATGAGCACACATGGATAATCAAAAGTTGAATGCAAATTCTAGGCTTTCTCTGTTATTTGTAGAGCTAACTTGTACGGTTTTCCTGGACGCATTTTCTCATTTAGTCTGCAGGTTTTGTCCAGGATGATCTTAAGGAATTTTATAGCTCTAATGCTGCAAATATTACAAATCTCTCTCTCTCTATGTCTGGAGACCTTAACAAGTCTTCAGTCCAGTTGCTACTTTTGCAGTTCACAAATGTCTGGAAGTCCTGTGTGTGAATGCTCTGCTGCATAACCTGGCAGAAGAAGCTTGGTGCTTTTTGGGAAGTATTGGGCAGGATCTTCATGTGCTACAGGCTTTTTCTGTATCTATGGGGAAGGATTAGCTCTCAGGCATTGTTAAATGTGTCTCGTGTCTTCTGTCCATAAGCTGCCCTCTTAGTAAGTGCTTGCCCTCTACCCCTGTCATATCTCGAGAGGGTCATATTTTCTGCATTTGTACAACTTGTGTAGATCAGTCTGATTTTTCATGGAAACTGTGGCCTTTCAGTTCATGCCGTGCTGATTTTCTCACATATAATTTCTGCATAGGAAATACTGGATAATAAGGTGAGAAGTCTTCTTTATATTAAAGAGCTTTCTCCTGCATAATGTAAATCACAATTGCTTTGTTCCAGATTCAATGTGATAATAATGGAGCAACATTAGGCCTGCTTGCTTTGGGAAATATCAAAGAGCTGATGCCTTCCAAGAGACCACTGTGTGTCATAGGCTTCTTTAGCACCTGAACATAAATTTAATGAAAAAATTTTAAATTATAAGTATTTACTTCCACGGCATTGTGGAAACATCCGTAGCCTTTTTTGGTGGAAGATGTGGAAAGGAAAAAACCTCTATCCTAAATTAACTCAATCAGTTTTAAGTGGTCCCATTCTGGTAATCTGAGATAACTTTTAACCAGATCATTATTTCACTGTATGCTGTAAACAGAAAAGCATGAAGTTCTTGATTCAAGTTATGGGCTAGCTCTTCAGCATCCCCGTGGAAGGGAACTTAGTGCTGGAGCAGTTAATGCAAATGTTCAATCTCTATGAATAACACCTCTGAACAGGACGAATGTCACTGAAGCTGCAGTTAAATCCCCAAGTAGGGGAGGTAATGGCACACAACTTTCTGCACATGGATATATTTTACTCTGGGACAGCACAGGTCTGAAAGAATATTTTCAGGAAAGTCTCATGTTTCTAAGAGTTGTCTGTAAACACTTATAATGCTGCAAGGGCCATCTCTCAAAATAGCTTCCCCTTACCACCTCAGGAGAAGCTACAACACACTAAACCTTGCCTCTAAATGTGCCTGTAAACCCAGCCCTCAGAGAAAACTGGTGAAGTTTGAACATGAGTTCAGAGATTTCCAGACTCAATGTTTATGTGTTTATGCCTGCTGTCCAAAGGCAGGCTCCCTGTCCAATAATTTTGCACAACTTGGTCTTTCTAAAGCCTATAGATAAATATTTTTAAAAAGATAAACCCAATGAATTATTCTGAATGCACTTCCTGGAATCACTCCAGTGTTCATGTTAGCTCTTTGTAGTGGTTGTTCCATGTCAGATCTGAGCTGTCACGTCATACACAGGAGATTAGAGCCACCAGCACATCTGGGCACCAGTCTGGCACCATAAAAACAACCATTTTCAACCAGTCAATATTCAGATGATACTATCCAGGAGTAGAGCCGTGTCATACTGGCTATAAGTGCCTCCTAAGATCCCAGAATTGTGAAGGTATTGATGATGATCATAGGTGGTGGGCTCCTTATGCTCTCTGCAGAGGTAGAATAACAAAAGTTAGCACTTCTAGAGTGTGGCTTGAAACATGTCTAAGGCAGATGTCCCAAATCTTCTTTAGGAGCCTATTGCTGTTTAATATGAAGCTAGGAAGAGTAGGCTTCTGTATAATTTTATCTGTAGGGTTTATATCACTACTGCTGGGAGATGATTGAAGTAGATGCCTGTTTCAGGACAGCTTTTTTATCTTCATCCATTTGCTCTTGTTTGCAGCCTCCTGCAGTATTGACATTAATTCCTTATTTTATATGGTGCTTATAGCCTTCAAATATAGAAAAATTATTGTGGCTCCCTTTGTTTTTAAACGAGTAAGTTAATTAACAAAATTACTTGAGAGGAGCCAGTTTGCTGCAGGGAAAAGCTGGCCTGGTGAACAGTTGTTTTGGATCACCAGGAGATATATTCCCATTTCAGATAATTTTTTTTGACAAAACTGATTTTCATTAAAATTAATCATTATAACCTTACACATTCTGTATTAGACTCCTGGAGACTTTTTCTAAATGAGCTTCATACTTCTTGGAGAACCACTTCCTATAAAATGCCAGCTGAAATCCATTGGTATGTCTCCATGTGTTGTGACAGACATGCAACCTCTCTCCATGTTGTTCATCTATCGACCGGGCTCATTTCAGATCTTTTCTTGTTTGTGCTCTTTTTCACTCTCTCTCTCACTGTTTCCTCTTGAGATATACTTTTTTGCTTTTTCACATATTGATGTGCCTTCATGTTTTTCTTAGTTCTGTTTTTCTTTTGTTCTTCAGAGAGATGATAGCTGTGTTAGGTTGGTTGGTTGGGTTTGTCTTCTTACTGGTTTGTTGTTGGGTTTTTTTTTTTACCATACTAGTTGCCACTGTATAATCTGTTCAGTGTAGGCAGAGCTCTACTCTGATCTGGTGCCTGGGGAACAGCAAATATGGTCTCTTCTAAATTAAGTGCTCTAGTGCCCAAGATTACTGGTTTGTGGTGGGGTGTTGTGTGGGTGGGTGATGGTTTTTTGGTTTGGAGGTTGTTGTTGTGTGTTTAGGTGGTGGGAGCTGGTGTGTGTGGGGTGTGTTTTTTGTTTTGTTGGTTTGGTTTTTTTTGTTTTGTTTTGTTTTGTTTTGTTTTTTTTGTGGTTGGACTCGATGATCTCTGAGGTCCCTTCCAACCACTACAATTCTGTGATTCTGTGAAGAGCTTGGGCTGCAGCCCCAATATATTGTGAAGCTTATGTGGAAAAATGGAGAACAGGAGGCAACAATAAACAGGTTTAGTAGGACAAAAGGACTGGAACCTAAGAGCCAAATAACTTATCAGCCTTGTTAGCATGAATACTCTTTTCCTGAATCTGCTAGGAAAATAGTATATTCTGTAGTTATGGAATCTGAGGCCAAAGAACCATAAAAGAGGCCAAAGAGATAGAATCAGGCAGGTGATCCTGGTCAGAGCTCTCTGCAGTTTCATATAGGCAACACTGCTTTGGTTTATGCTTAATATTTTGGGGGTTTTACCATAAAAATTCTTAATTTTAGATGAGAAGAAGAAAATGAATTAAGTTGAAGGCTGCTCTGCCCTTGGAAGGAAAATAATACCTCTTGTAATTTCTTATTGTCCTTTGTTCCCATAGAAACACTTGTAGTATTTAATTTTCTAACCTGTGTCATTTAGATAATGAACTCTTCCAAAAATAAATGGGGGGAAATTCCTGATCTCATTTGAATTAAATCTAAAGTAGTCAGGTTTCTACGCATAGACTTATTTTTGTTTTGTGTGATGCTGAGTGTTGATGACGATTCTCCTGTTTTTCTCTCTCTCTATCTTTATGTTGACCACCAGGTCAGCTTAAGTACAGGAAGTTCTTTCTAACTGGTCACGCTAAAACTGCTGTTGAGCATACACACCATTTCCTTATTCTTCTTTATAATGTAGAATTTGTGTGATGTGGATTTTGGAAATACTTTGGAAAAAGATTGGATAACTTTCTGCTTCAGCATGTTTCACAAAGTTTACTTTGTTTACATTTCTAATAATAATAATAGACTCTGAACCATTCTGATTAATATATTATGGCAAAATTCTGACTATACAAACAACTTCTATGACTCTTACATCAGCACTCAGTATCCCATGGTGAAGTTGTTACTGCAACTTACCATTGCACTATTGTCACCAGAAACAGTTCTGCAAACAATCTAAAAATTCTTGTGTAAGAAAAATAGTACTTTATTTTCCTTTTTGTCTAAAAAACAACGTGACTCTGTCATCTTTTCATTAGTACGGGGACTTTTATGTTAGCATACCACAAGGGAATTTATTTGTGACAAATTTTTAGGCCTAAAAAATCCTCTTGCTTTCCTTTAAAGATCAGTGAGATCAGTGTTCAGGTAACAAGTTCTCCACAGTTTTAATTCTACCTTTTTTCAGCTTCTGTCTCTAATCTTATTCTTTCTAATTCTCCATTCTCTGTTTCTGCTGCTTGGGCCTCCTGTCCTTTGACTCTCTTCCAGGTTCTGGTCTATTCCCCCTCTCGCATTTCTCTTTTTGCTCCTACTGCTCTTTACCTGCTCCTCAAGGCTATATCTGCCTCCAGGTGTCCCACTCACATACCAGTGTCTACTTTTTCCCTGAAGTTCTGAGCTCTGAAAAAATGAACTCGCTCAGACCACTGAGTTTATGATAATTGAGTGTACTTTATGATACTTCTTGTACAGCTTAGCATTCTTTGCAACAGAAATAGCAATTTTTTATTAATATTCCGTGAAACAAT